TGTGGAAGGAAAACAATCATATGATGCGTTTTCAGAGTGAAACCTCCGTTTTCAAATTCCTCCGGCGTAATGTGAACAGGGCATCATTCTCCAACTGAAAACCCGAGTCACAAACAATCCACTTACCCAGTTTTCCAACCATCTGTCTTCGAATAGTGATAGTCTCAATTCTTGATTTAATATTATCAGGTAAACTGTCCATATCAATGGAGTCTCCTGAAAACAACAGCGGCGGTCCAAAGTCAAACTTTGATGACTGTTCACTTTCGCTACCACTAGACTCGTTATCACTCTCCTTTTCAACTTCAATATCACCCATCAGGGCGGCCTGTTGGTCTGAAAAAAAATACACAGTTACAGGTGAAGGAACAAATCAAACAGCAAAGAGCATTATTTACAGTATAGTGTTTTCGAGTCATTTGACGAAACCCAAGTGTGTGACTATTCAAATAAAAGCTTTTGAGCAGTAATGTAGCGTTGTTTATTTTGATTACCACGGTAGACCTACATTCATTTGTAACTTTGAAGTCTTTGGATGAAACCTTAGCGTGTGACCATTCAAATGAAAGCTATTGGGCAGTATTTTCAAGTGGTACTGTGTATTATGCTGTAAAAGGTGGTTCTAACTTTCTAACTGTAAGTCTGGAGATCAAACTCTAGTGTGTGACCATTCTAATCAAAGCTGTTGAGTAGCTCTTTCATGCGGTACTGTGTATTATGCTGTAAAAGGTGGTTGTAACTGTAAGTCTGTAGATCAAACTCTAGTGTGTGACAATTGTAATCAAAGCTGTTGAGCAGTACTTTCATTTGGTACTGTGTATTATGCTGTAAAAGGTGGTTGTAACTGTAAGTCTGGAGATCAAACTCTAGTGTGTGACCATTGTAATCAAAGCTGTTGAGCAGTACTTTCATTTGGTACTGTGTATTATGCTGTAAAAGGTGGTTGTAACTGTAAGTCTGGAGATCAAACTCTAGTGTGTGACCATTCTAGTCAAAGCTGTTGAGTAGCTCTTTCATGTGGTACTGTGTATTATGCTGTAAAAGGTGGTTGTAACTGTAAGTCTGTGGATGACACTTTGGTGTGTGACCATTCAACTAAAGGCTACTGAACAGTATTTTCATGTGGTACTGTTTGGACACAAGAAGGAATGGCAGGGTTGATTGAAGTTACCTCGTTTCTGCTGTTCAGCATCTTTGAGCAGAGGCTCGCCATTGTATCTTGCAGTGTCTGGTGGGCTCTCCTCGTATTCTTCATCGTCATCAGGCAAAGGTATTGGCCTGGCCACACCAATTCTAACTTTACCTGGAGGGTACAGAGAATATTTAAAGTGAACAAAAATACAAACGAAAGAATCTTCTGCATCACAGCCATCACTCTGCAATTAAAACGATTAACAAAAGCCTTGCAATGCACTTCGAAGTCCTCTAACTTCTTTTCATTAACGAGCAAACGAACCAGGGGTTAACTTGAATTGTCAAACAAAATAAGAAAGACTGTCAACAAAATACCATTTCCATTCCTGGCTACGAGTTATTAACACTGACCTTTGGGCGTTCCTTTGAGTGT